CTGTGGATACCTTCACTAGTAGGACGCGTTTTGGTGAGCTAGCTCCCAAAAGCAAAACCGTGAGGGAATGATCTGGTGTATACCCAAAGCGGACAATATTCTACTACGGGTTGACTGGGCTGTTACAACACGTGTGACAGGTCGTGTGCCTGGTCGTGTGACTATGCCGAGGGCAGATTTGAACAGTATATTGAGCCACACGACTCGTATGACTTACCACACGACTCGTGTGACTTAAAAACTTTAAATTTTCAACTTATTTGGCCTCAAAATAGCTTAATCTTGAAAATAAACTGATGCTTATTACTAATTACTGCATGGGATGCTACAGATTCTCGCTGCCCCTCTACCGAATAATTTCAAAGAGATTAATCTGGTGTATGATGGGTCGTCTGACCTGTCGAGGCATGTGAGGACCTTCGAGAACATAGCTGTATTATATGGCTATTCTGTTTCTGTATGTTGCAGGGCATTTCTATCGACCTTGAGTGGGTGAGCCCTTGACTGGTTTCATCAATTACCCCTAGGGTCGATCGCAGACTTCGAGGATTTTGGAAGCAAGCTTACCAACCAATATTTGAGCACGGTGGCACAGGAGAAGACATACTTAACGCTGATGGCAATGAGGCAAGGAGAGAAGAAGTCGTTGAGGAAGTATGTTGCTAGATACAATCAAACATGTTTGGAGGTGCACTCAGCGTCGGATGAGGTGAAAGCAGGAGGATTGATACGGAGTCTTCGAGCGGGGCCTTGTCGGACCTCCCTGGCAAAGACTCCTGCTCGATCATATGTGAGGACGTTTTGAAGCGATGCAGGAAGTACATTAATTTGGAGGAGATGGAGATGGAGTTTGCAAAGCTGGAAGGGGCGGCTCGACCAGAGCCAAAGAAGGAGAATAGCCCGCAAAGGGGGGGAAGATCGCCGAGGAAGAATTCGCCCAAAAGGAGTGGGCCGAAAAAAGCATCGCCTATGAGAGAAAGTTGGGATTTGAAAAAGGAGAAAAGGGACGAATGGCAGAGGAGGCCGATGTTGTTCGAAAGAGAGAGGTATCATAGTTTTACACCCTTGAGAAAAGATTTGACAGAGGTGCTCGAGGCTATGGAGTAGAAGATGTCGAGCGAGGATGTGACGTGGCCGAAGACGAGGTTTACGTGCCTGATTCGACCCAGGTCGGATATCTACTGTCGTTTTCACTGAGACTACGGCCATACTACGGAGAACTGTAGGCATTTGAAGGATGAGATTGAAAGGTTAATTCGGGCAGGGCATCGGAAAGAGTTTGTGTATCATGACAGGGCGAAAGGAAAAGGGAGGAGAAGATGTCGGGAGGAATCTGAGGAGAGAAGTGATAGAGATGAGGAGGGTGATGATAGTGATGGATGAGATGGTTGAGGAAAGAGGCCGAAGAAGGATGGAGATAAAGGGGGTCAAGGAGGAGAAGCCCCGTTGAAGAGAATAACGATTTATATGATTTCTGGAGGGCCGACGGATGGCGACTCGAATCACGCCAGGAAGGAGCATGCTCGAGCTGTGAAAAGAAAGAGAGAGGAGGTGGGAATTACGGCTCGAATGCCAGTGATAAGTTTTAAAGCGGAGGATGCTGAGGGAGTGGTCATGCCACACAACGACGCTTTTGGGATTACTACAGAGGTGGCAGGCTTTGATGTGAAAAGGGTGTTCATTGATACCGGGAGTTCGGTGGACATGATGTCTTATGATTGTTTTGTGCAGATTAATAAGGAGCTGAACATGGAGTTAAAAACCAGTGGCCACGACGTTATACGACTTTAATGGAGGAGAGGTTATGCCGATGGGAGAGATCAGCATGACCGTGGCGCTGAGATCAGGGGTGATGAGGAAAGTCCGGATGGTGAGGTTTGTGGTCGTTGGGGCTGAGTCGTCTTACAACATTATAATGGGGATAACAAGCTTGAATGCATTCCAGGCGGTCGTATCCACGTACCACATGATGATCAAATATCCTGTGGGTGAAAACGTTAGAGAGATTGCTGGAGATCAACTTTCCTCGAGGAGCTGCTACCATACTACGGTGAGCAACAACAAACAGCTAGCGAAGAGGCAGGCTAGGCCAGAAGGGGAGAAGGTCAATCGACCAGGTGGGCCGAGGTCGAAAGAAGATAGGCAGAGGTTGGAGAAGGGAAAAGAGAAGGTGGATATCCGGCCAAGAGTGGAGTTCGATGAAGTTCAGATGATCGAGGGATGTGACGAGAGGAAGTTCAGAATTGGGAAGGACCTGGAGGAGCCCATCAGATCGAGGTTGATTTGCCTAGTTAGGGAGTTCGCGAATATCTTCGCGTATACAACGGAGGAGTTGACGAGAATAAGTGCATAGGTGATCGAACACCGGATGAACATCAACCTCAGCGTGAGGCCGGTGAAACAAAAGAGGAGGCATCATAGAGCTGAGATGGATAAAATTATCGAGCAAGAGGTCGAGAAGTTGTTGAAAGCAAGGCATATCAAGGAGATTCAGTTCCCAGAATGGCTATCAAATACATTGATGGTGTCAAAGGCGGAGGAAAAGTGGAGAATATGCATCGACTTTTGTGATCTGAACAAAGCATGCCCGAAGGATTTGTATCCATTGCCCTGAATCGACCAGCTGGTCGACTCAACTGCTGGATGTGAGTTGTTGAGCCTGATGGATGTCTCACAGGGGTATCATCAAATTACATTGGCGAGAGAAGATAGAAAGAGGGTGAGCTTTGTGACAAGTCGGGGTACTTACTATTACGTGGTGATGCCGTTCGATTTAAAAAATACGGGCGCCACGTACCAGAGGTTGGTGGAAAAAAGTTTTAAGGACCAGATGGGGAGAAACATGGAGGTATATGTAGACGATATGCTAGTGAAAAGCAAAGAGGAGATGGATCATGTGCGAGACTTGAAGGAAACGTTCTTGACTTTTAGGAGGTACGAGATGAAATTGAATCCAGCTAAGTGTTCGTATGGAGTAAAGTCGGGGAAATTCTTGGGTTACTTGGTGACCAAGAGAGGTATCGAGGTAAATCCAGAGAAAGTACAGGCAATGATGGAGATAAAGTCGCCGGTGAATCTTAAGGAGGTACAAACTTGGCTGGTCAAATCGCAGGACTAAGTCGTTTTATATCGAAGGTGGCGGAAAAGAGTGGCCCGTTGTTTAAAACATTGAAGAAGAGTGCGAAATTTCAATGGACGGAGGAAGCGCAGAGGGCATTTGAGGAGTTGCGAGGAGTGTTAGCCAACCTTTCCTTATTGGCTAAACCCGTACAGGGCGAGGAGTTGGTGCTGTAGATTTGTATTGGAGAAAGGGCTGTATGTTCGGTGTTATTGTGGGAGGAAGAGGCAGCACAATTTTCCATCTATTACGTGAGTAGGGTGATGCAGGGGGCGGAGATGAGGTATTCGGAGATCGAAAAGTGTGCTTTGGCTGTGGTCGTAACTGCTCGAAAGTTGAGACGTTATTTCTTGAACCATAA